TGCCACATCAGGGGGCTGCCGATCCTTCTGTCTGTCTCTGTAGTCTCTCCTCATCTTCATGTCTCCCCCCCCCACCCCACTGTAATAGGAGAGGGTCAAAAAGTTGGTGGTCATTTCCATGATCTCTTAATACCACTGTCTGCTAGAACTGTTTGAAGCCCCCTCGATGGGCTCTTGGTAGGCAGGGCTCTACTGGTCCCCGGGGCCCCCTCTCAGCTCTGGGCAGCAGCCCAGGTCTCCTGGGTGGGTGAGTGCCCAGCGAGGACGATTCATGGGGCTTCCTGAATAGTGGGCAGCGCTGCTCAACCCGTGTGGCCTCAGAGGCCAATGCCATCTCTTACCTTGAGTCTGTGGGGTGGCTGCCCCACCTCAGCACTCCGCACCAGTGAGACACCTCCAGCCCCGCCCCTCCTCGGCCCCATGTCAATGAGATTAGGACTGGTCTGTGATTGGCGGGCCTTAAAGAGGCAGGAGTGGTGCTCAGTTAGGCCTTCGGAGTATAGACCCAGAATCAGGTAGGGATGGCAGCCTGGCTTTGGTCTAAGGAGGAGCAGCTGGCAGCCCGCTGATCAGGGGCCACTCGGGGGGCAGGAGGCCCTCTCCGGGCAGGCACACAAGAGTTCCCATGCCTCGCAGAGGCGTGGCCAGGGCCCCACTCCCTGATCCCCCACAGACCTGCTGACTTGGGGGAGTGCCTACCACAAGCCACCCAAACTGTCCCAAGGACCCAGGCCTCCCCCTCCTAGAGTCCCGGCCCAGCCTTGTCACCTGCACCCAAGGGAGCACGCCACCCAGTGGCCCCTCAGGTGGCCTCAGGGCTGAGGGTCCTGTGTCCACCCTCAGCCGGCAGTGCTGGAGGGGCTGCCCCAGAAAGGTTGACAGGGTATCTGTCAGCTCATGCCCCAGTGACCACTGCTCCCCATGGCACACGGGCTCTGTCCCACTTCCACTGAGAGGAAGGCAGGGTGTGTGTCAGGGGTCCATGTCGGCTGTAGGTATTGGCTGCCTGCACTGCAATGACGGAGAGCACCCCATCATACCCAGCAGCTGTTTCTCACTGTGTGCATGCGTGTGAGACCAGGTGGGCACATGTATGCTCCTGGGGATGTGTACACATGTGGACAGGCATGTCTTTTTTGTGCATGTGTGAATACATGCACATGCACAAGTGTAAACCTCTGCACCTATGTGCATGTGCATCTATGTTTGTGTGAGCCCACCCATGTGAGTGCATATGTGTATATTGTGCAAGTGTGTGAGCCTATGCATGTGCCCCTGTGTGTACGTGTGCGTATATGAGCCATGCACGCATGCATAGCATGTGTAGGCACACATGCTCATGCACATGTCACACGTGGGCACACATGCCCATGTAACGTGTGAGCATGCGTCCATGTGTAAACACCTGGCTGCACACATGCCGGTGAGTGAGCACCTCCAGAGCATAACGACTTACACCTGCAGCTTCAAGCACCAGCCAAAGTTCTCTTCCACCTCCTGCCCCGAGTGTGGCAGGGCAAGGCTTCCCATTGGTCCTAGGAGATGTTTTCTGTCTTCTTCTTAACCCATTGTCACCAAATGCCCTACGGCCCAGCTGCCACAGCATGATCATGGCTGATTAGAGTTGATGAGACACCTCCCATCTTTGTAGGGGCTTTCTGGAACCTCGCGTCTGGAAACTAGGAGCAGTAAATACAGTGCCCTTCTGAGGGGTGCCCAGTGGCCCCTGGGGGATTAGCAAGGCTGTGTGTCAGGGCTCTGCTGGGCTGCCCCCTGCAGTCCATGCAGGAAGTGCTGCAGATAGTCTGCACAGGGCGCTCTGCCCTCCACACCCTGCTGCATGCACGCTGGCTGGCCAGGCGCGCCTCATCCTTGTCCAGCAGGAGGCAGGGTCCCGCGCTCTTTCTTCCTTCCCAGTGAGGCACAGAACATTTTCACTGCTTGTGATGATAAGTGCTTTATTTTTGGAAACCATACGATACCGTCTGTGCAAAACCTTGTCCTCAAAGCTGACAAGTCGGTCTTGATGGAGGGAAGGTTCCGGATGCTAGCTGCAGAACGCAGGAGGGCTTCCCCGTGCTGATGAGGGGAGGGGCCTGGAGCAGGGGTCCTCGTGGGGCGGGGTTTGGGCGCTGACCTGTGGGTGGCAGTTTCTTCCCGCAGAGCTCACCCGGTCAGGCGGGCATGTCTCTGTACAGCAGGCTGGGCGTCACATCCACTGGCCTCGGGACTTTCTGGGGAGGCTGGGCTGAGCAGCATCTCTTCACCGAGCCCCGGTGACAGCCAAGGTGGCTCTGACTGTGCCTTGTCTCTCTCTTCCAGCTTACGTCCCCGAGGAAGAGCTGAAAGCAGCCGAGGTCGACGCAGACCCCGCGGAGGAGGGCATCCCCTTGCACCCGCAGGAGAGCGAGTATGTGTGCAATGAAGACCCCGAGATCAAAGAGGCGCACAGCTACCAGGACTCGCCCGTCAGCACGGCCACCAACCAGGAAGCCGGCTATGGGTCGCCCTTCAGCGAGAGCAGCGACCAGCTGGCCCACTTCAAACTGCCCTCCTCCCAGGAGGAGAAGGACGACGCCCCGGGCGCGGACAGTGTCTCCTACCCGCAGGACAGCTTGGCCCAAATCAAAGCTGTGTATGCCAACTTGTTCTCCGAGTCATGCTGGTCCAGCCTAGCGCTGGACCTGAAGAGGTCCAGCCTGACCTCCACCAGCAGCAGCAGCGATGCTGGCAGGAAGGAGGGCGCCACGCCCACGCCCACACCCCCCACCGCCACCAGCACCGCCGGCACCAACACGCATGTACCCGGCACCGGCACCGGCACCAGCACCAGCACCAGCACTAGCGCCAGCCACAGTGGTGGAGGCGGAGGCGGTGGCGGGGGAGGTGGCGGGGGCACCAATAACAGCAGCAGCAGCAGCAGCTCCGGGTACGACTGGCACCAGGCGGCCCTGGCCAAGACCCTGCAGCAGACGTCCTCCTACGGCCTGCTGCCGGAGCCCAGCCTCTTCAGCACCGTGCAGCTGTACCGGCAGAACAACAAGCTCTATGGCTCCGTGTTCACCGGCGCCAGCAAGTTCCGCTGCAAGGACTGCAGCGCCGCCTACGACACGCTGGTGGAGCTGACGGTGCACATGAACGAGACGGGCCACTACCGCGACGACAACAGGGACAAGGACGCCGAGAAGACCAAGCGCTGGTCCAAGCCCAGGAAGCGCTCCCTGATGGAGATGGAGGGCAAGGAGGACGCCCAGAAGGTGCTCAAGTGCATGTACTGCGGCCACTCGTTTGAGTCCCTGCAGGACCTCAGCGTCCACATGATCAAAACCAAGCATTACCAGAAAGTGCCTCTGAAGGAGCCGGTGCCCGCCATCACCAAGCTGGTCCCTTCCACCAAGAAGCGCGCCCTCCAGGACTTGGCCTCGCCCTGCTCGCCAGAGCCCGCGGGGGTGCCCGCGGATGTGGCGGCGCTGGGCGAGCCCGGCAAGGACCAGAAGACGGCCAACCCCTACGTGACGCCCAACAACCGCTACGGCTACCAAAACGGGGCCAGCTACACCTGGCAGTTTGAGGCCCGCAAGGCGCAGATCCTCAAGTGCATGGAGTGCGGCAGCTCCCACGACACCCTGCAGCAGCTCACGGCACACATGATGGTCACCGGCCACTTCCTGAAGGTGACCACGTCCGCCTCCAAGAAGGGCAAGCAGCTGGTGCTGGATCCCGTGGTGGAGGAGAAGATCCAGTCCATCCCCCTACCGCCCACCACGCACACCCGCCTGCCCACCGCCGCCGCCGCCGCCGCCACTGCCGGTGGCACCAAGAAGCAGCCAGACTCGCCGGCAGGTGCCGCCTTGCCTGAGGAGAAGGAGGCTGAGAAGGAGCAGGTGCCTGCTGTGACCCCCGCAGCCTCAGAGGCCGACCGGAGGGTCAAGGAGGAGGTGGAGGGCGGCACCGAGAAGCCGGAGCCCACCGCGCTCTACCAGTACCTGCGCGAGGAGGACTTGGCTGACAGCCCCAAGGGCGGTGTGGACATCCTCAAGTCGCTGGAGAACACGGTCAGCACAGCCATCAGCAAGGCCCAGAACGGCGCACCCTCCTGGGGCGGCTACCCCAGTATCCATGCCGCCTACCAGCTGCCCGGCTCTGTGAAGGCCCTGCCGCCTGCTGTGCAGACCGTGCCCATGCAGCCCACCTATGCCAGTGGGGCCAAGTCCCTGCCCGCCGAGCACAGTGCCCTCCTGCACTCCCCCGGGGGCAGCCTGACGCCCCCTCCCCACCGGAGCAACGTGTCGGCCATGGAAGAGCTGGTGGAGAAGGTCACGGGCAAGGTCAGCATCAAGAAGGAGGACAGGCCCATCCAGGAGAGGGACAAAGGCCCCCCAGCCAAGGCCGCATCCCCAGTGGTCAAGGAGGACAAAGATCTCCCCAAGGGCGAAGAGCCTGGTGGCAAGCAGCTGCCCAAGAAGAGCCCGGACACAGAGGTGGGGAAGGTTGCCAAGGAGGAGCCGGGCGACCCGCACCCCCCCAATGGCACGGAGCCCCTCCGGGCCAAAGTCACCAACGGCTGCAGCGGCCTGGGCGTCATCACGGACCACTCACCCGAGCCGCCCTTCATCAACCCCCTGAGCGCCCTGCAGTCCATCATGAACGCCCACCTGGGCAAGGTGTCCAAACCGGTCAGCCCCTCGCTGGACCCCCTGGCCATGCTCTACAAGATCAGCAACAGCATGCTGGACAGGCCCGCGCCCCCCGGCGCCCCCGGCAAGCAGGCTGACGCCATCGATCGCTACTACTATGAGAGCAGTGACCAGCCCATCGACCTCACCAAATCCAAGAGCAAGCCCCTGGGGGTGGGCGCAGCAGACGCGGTCTCGTCGCCCCTGCGGGAGAGTGCTCTGATGGACATCTCCGACATGGTGAAGAACCTCACGGGCCGCCTGACGCCCAAGTCCTCCACGCCCTCTACTGTGTCCGAGAAGTCCGATGCCGACGGCAGCAGCTTCGAGGAGGCGCTGGATGAGCTGTCGCCGGTCCACAAGCGGAAGGGACGGCAGTCCACCTGGAACCCCCAGCACCTGCTCATCCTGCAGGCCCAGTTCGCCTCCAGCCTGCGGGAGACGCCCGAGGGCAAATACATCATGTCCGACCTGGGCCCCCAGGAGCGTGTGCACATTTCCAAGTTCACCGGCCTGTCCATGACCACCATCAGCCACTGGCTGGCCAACGTCAAGTACCAGTTGCGCCGGACAGGGGGGACCAAGTTCCTGAAGAACCTCGACACGGGGCATCCTGTGTTCTTTTGCAACGATTGTGCCTCTCAGTTCAGGACTGCCTGCACGTACATCAGCCACCTGGAGACGCACCTGGGCTTCAGCCTGAAGGACCTGTCCAAGCTGCCGCTCAGCCAGATCCAGGAGCAGCCGAGCATCCCCAAGGTCCTGGGCGGCAAGGCCCTGGGCCCTCTGGGGGTCGGGGACGAGGACCTGGGCTCCACCTTCCAATGCAAGTTGTGTAACCGGACCTTTGCCAGCAAGCACGCAGTCAAACTGCACCTCAGTAAGACCCACGGCAAGTCCCCCGAGGACCACCTGGTCTACGTCACGGAGCTGGAGAAGCAGTAGCACCAGCTCTGCCCTTTGCACTAACACTGCTGCCGACTGCACTAGGCCTGGCCTGAGCCTCTGAAATCAGACTCCTCCGAGGTCGCTGAGCTGCCTCCCTGGACCTTGGGTTTCTTACACGCCTTTTGTAGCTCTATTTATACGCACTCTGTCTGCGCCCCTGCATGGTGGTTTTTCTCTCTCTTATTTTTTTTCCTCCCGTGAAGCAGGGTCGGATCTCTGCTTTCCACGTCCGTTCTCTTTTAGGAAAGAGCGGGACCCGCACTTCAGAGACGTTCCTGTAAGCCGGAAGTTGAGATGCAAATAACAGTGACGAAGAGATGTCGGCGAATGACGAGTTGCCACGACGGAGGGCTGTGGCACCCAGTTCGGGTCCAGTTTAACCCCTGTGAGGACTCTAATCGTATATCTGTGCCTTTCACTTGAAGGAAAAAAAATAAATAGGTAAATAAATAGGAAGTAAATAGAAGGTTTGAAGGCATCTCATTCAGATCTAAAGCTGTGTCAGACACAAAACTTATTTAATGATTAAAAACGTAGGAGCAGAGCTTTTTATATGCAGGACTGGTTTGTGAGGAAGCTTGCTGAGAGATAGGACTCGTGGGGCGGCCCCCCACCCCACAGGTTTCAATCAAACATCAACCACAAACACCCCAGTCGCCACCATGCCGAAACCCTTTGGAAGCTGGAAAATGCCAGCATGGCAAACACAAAACAAAAACAACAGCAACAAAACCCCACAAAAAACCCACAAAACAAAACAAAAAAAACTGAAAAAAAAAGAAAAAAGTATGCAAGCTATTATTTAAAAATGTGTACAAATGCTATCTCTTTTTTTTCCTGTAAAATACTGCAGTTTATAGTCATTTCCAAATGTAAGCTTGGGTACAGCCGGCCTTTCTATAGCGTTGCTGCATTGGTTCATGGAAAACAACTGGGCAGGGGCAGATGTTGGCTGTCTTCCCTTGTAAACTGCCAGCATCGGCGTAAGAAAAAAAAAATACCACCAGAAACAAACAAAAAACAAACAAAAAAACAAAAACCCACAAAAAAACACCTCTGTGTTACCTAGCGTCCTATTTTAATCTCTTCCACTCTCTTTGTACCTTCTGGCTGTTTGCTTTCTCTTTCAACCTTTTATATTGTCATTTTATATTCGATTTCTGTGTATATAATGTAAAACCACGATTTTTTGAATAAAATTTAGTTCCTGCGGCTTGATTTCAACAGAGAAATTTTACTGGCACCTGCATCTCTCTGGGTGCATGTACTTAAAAAAAAAAAAAAGAACTATCGGACAGAAATAAATAAAAAAATAAATGAAAGGGGGGAAACAAAGCAAGCAATGCACTATTAATTATACATTTTGATGTCCTGTCATTAATATTGTACAGTACATTTTGGTTCACGCAACGAAGCCCACTGTTTTCTCAAATGTAAAATAAACCCACACGCAGTTCTTGATTTACGCACCTGTCCTGTCGTCATTCCCTCGCGAGGGATCTCGCGCCGCTCCGTGATCGCAGGAGCAGGCGAGCAGCAGGTGCGGAGGAGGGCCACGTTCAGAACCGTGATCGAGTTGCCTGCTCTCCTGAGCACCAGCTTGCTGAGCCTCACCATGCGGTCGGTGATGGCAGTTTCCAGACCCGGTTTGGGGATAATCTTAGAATGATCATTAGAATGACCCTTATGTGCTTCGGGGACAGGGGCCGGGGCAGGGTGAAGACCCCTGGGCCCTTGGCCTGGCAGTCCGGGCTGCTCCTTGCATGCTGTGCTTAGGAAGACTTATATTTTGGGGGGGTAAGAACACGGGCCTGGGTCTGCTCCGTGTCCTTGGTACTCATTCTCGGTTGCAAATGGACAAGGCCTGCCCAACCTGCCGGGGCCTGCATGCAGGGACAGGGAGGGGAGGCCCTTGGCTCCTGGAAGTGGTTGGTGGTGGCAGCAGGAAGGCTTCTTGTTCTGCCTCTTGCTTACAGGTTCGCATATCTCAAGAGAGGTTGGAAGCCACACTGAGGCATCTCCTTTTCCCCTGGTGTCTCCATAGTCACCTGCCACAGCCAAGATGGGGCTGTGTCTTCTTTCCCTGTGGTAGCCCATGACCTAACCGTCTTAGCCACCATCACTGCACGGCCACTCTCTCAGTCCTTTAAAGTGCCAGGCACCGTGGAGGCTTAATCAAACGTCCTGACTTCTTGTTGGTGAATCGCAGTGCCCTTCACGGTTTCAACCATTTAGCTCTCAGTTCAATTCCTAGACGATTTTGGACTTTGGGCTCAAGAGGTGAGAGACAAAGAGCTATTAGACCAGTGGCAACATTTGGGGTCTTGGTGTTAACTGAACATCAGCGTTAAGTTGATCATCCCACAAGCCCACAAAGTACCGTCTGTCCTGGCCACCCTTCAACGGAGGGTTGTTAGGAGGTGTGGGTGAGGTGGTGGAGTGGCCAGAGCTCCACCCAGGTAAGGCATGCCGTGTGTGCTCAGCCCTACCGTGTAGCTATGAAACGAATACTGTAGAAGCTGCTGCTACCTGAGTTCCGGTCCCTTGGGGGTGGGGTGGGGGCGGATTGGCACAGTGTGGGTTCCTTCCATGTTGTCTTTGAATGCAGTAGCCACATTGCCATATAACAATGGACTTCAACCACTCGGTGGAAGCTTAGGGCATCTACTTGTAATAGGAATATTTCTGTGTTGTCAGATGCCATTGTGTTGGCTCTGACTCATAGCGACCCTAGAAATAACCACACAGCAAACCCCTGCTCGGCCCTTTACTATCCCTACGACCCTGGCCGAGGGTGAGCCCACCGCGACAGCCTCTCTGGCAGTCGATCGTGGAGGGTCCTCCTTGTTTCCAAACGGGGGTGGGGGAGTGCCCTTCTCCAGGGACTGGTTCCTCCTGATCACATGTCCAAAGCATGTAAGATGAAGTCTTGCCATCCTCATTTCTACGGAGCATCCTGGTTGTGCATCGTCCAACATGGAGTTGGTCAAGGCGTGGCAGTCCACGGCACTCCTGTGGTACGCACACTGGGGGCTCCAGGCTTCTCAATCTCAAAGTGGGGAAGAAAGGAGGCTCGGCCGGGCTAAGAAACCTGCTCACACCCACACACAGCATAAGTTGGCCGAATCTGAACTGTACTCCGTTCAAGGGACCCCCGAGGAGAATGAGGCCGTGTGTTCGACCTCACGAAGGGGTGAGCGTTGTTTGGGTCTCTGCCCCGCAGGCAAGGCCAGGGGCTCTTCTGCGGCAGGTGTAGCAGGAGACAGAGGTTGGCAGAAGCAGACCTGTTGAGCAGAACAGTGTTTCTGGGGGCCTCCGACTCTGCCCGCATCCCACTGCCAAAAAAGATCTAGGTTTTGTTGGATCTGAAAAATGAACGGAGATGAGGGTGTACCAGTTTGTAGCAATCTTGGTTGCAACCCAGAATACCTAGTGCCAGGAATACGGGCAAGCTCATTGTACCTACGCCCACTTTAAGTCCAATTTGCGAATAGCCTTTGCCACGAAAAGGTTTCCCTTAGTTCCTCGTGTATCTCTCTGTGCATAACAAACAAACAAACAAACACGTTAAAGAAACACCGTGTGCACAAAAACATCTTTAGTGTAATATAAAATAATGATCACTGTTTTGATGTGAACTGCCAGGTCTTGCCCATTTGTTGTTACAAACCGTTGTATGCACCTCACATTTTATTTTTCCCCCCTGAGTTTTAAATATGCAATATCCCCTTCTTTTTCTTAATCATTTTATTAGGGGCTCATACAACTCTTATCACAATCCATACATACATCAATGTGTAAAGCACATTTGTACATTCA